GAACTAAAAAATAAATGATAAAAATTCTCTCTCTCTCTCCCTCCTCTCTCACTCTCTCTTTAAAAAAAAAAAAAATGAGTAAACTCAGAAGAAAAGTGCTGATAAATATGGGCAGGCTCAATGAAAAATTTGTAGTCCCAATTAGAATTTTTGCAACCTAATGATTTCTAATACTATTAGGTTTTATTAATTTACTTAGTGGGCTAAGCAGTGTTGTCTCTATTTGTCCCTAAGGCCCAGGTTTTTGTTTTTGTTTTTTTGATACTGGGGATTAAACTCAGGGGCACGTGGGGCCCTTGACCACTGAGCCCCAGAGACCCAGAGCTACAGAGCCACAGAGCCACAGACAGAGTCTTCCTGAGTTGCTTAGTGCCTCGCCATTGCTGAGGCTGGCTTTGAACTCGTGATCCTCCTGCCTTATCCCTCTGAGCTGCTGGGATTAAAGGCATGCGCCACTATACCTGGCCAGTTTTCTCTTTTAAATGAAGTGCAGGCTAAACTGGTACTTATTTCTCTTTCCACAGGAAAATGATGGACTCTGGACAGATTGATTTTTACCAACATGATAAAGTTTGCTCCAATACCTGCAGAAGCACCAAATTTGATCTTCTGATTAGCAGTGCAAGAGCTCCAGTGCCAGGACAGCAGACAAGTGTGGTGCAGACACCCACTTCGGCCGATGGTAGGGGGTAGGAAACCACCTGAAAACCCGCTGTGTTTTTCAGCAGTACTTTCCCTCTCTTTTCTCCTTTGTGTTTCTTAATTTCAATTCTTGTGAGCATTGATATGCTTTGTGCTAAGGTATGGTAATCTTGGATGGGATTCTATGTCTTGGAAACAGATCTCTTTTTTTTCCTCTAAATAATTCTTATTGGCCAGATCTTCTTCCTTGTTTCTTCTTAGAATGCCTGGTAAGCATTAGAAAGATGGTTCAATAGTTAACACTTATCCAGTGGTTTCACTTTGGTGCCTCTGGGCATATCAAGGTTGAAATTAGACTGTTCTGAAAATCCTTTGCACTATTAGAGGTGAAGACAGCAGGGTAGATTAGAATGATGAAAAGTTTTCAACTGTTGAACTGAGATTTATCAGTGTGTCATTGACTGGGCTGGACTATGAAGAGCCTGTCACAAGTCTTAGAGAGCTCTGCCTGGGTGGGCTCCAGATTACCAACATGAGGCTTCCTCACAGATGAATGGGATGGGCACACACTTCAGTCTTTTCGAATTTGGACCTAAGGCTCCTCGCCATCCAGCAAAGATATAACTTTATGGGAAAGATTATTCAAAAGGATTTAATCAGCCCAACTGGAGACTTAGCCATAGTTGAATAAAATCTGTCTCAACTACTATCATAAACTTATAGATATGCCTGATAATAATCACAGAATGCTCAAGGATCTAAAAGGTTAGGGAAGTACTGTTTTTGAAAAATGATCTCTTGGGCTGGGGATGTGGCTCAAGAGGTAGTGTGCTCACCTGGCATGCGTGGGGCAAGGGTTCTATCCTCAGTACCACATACAAGCAAAGACGTTGTGTTCGCCGAAAACTAAAAACTAAAAAAATAAATATTAAAATTCTCTCTCTCTCTCTCTCTCTCTCTCTCTCTCTCTCTGTCCTTCTCTCTCTTAAAAAAAAAAATATTTGGATTGGTTCACATTTACCATTCCTTTCATGTATTAAAAAGAAAGAAAGAAAGAAAGAAAAATGATCTCTTTACTTTTAATTTTGGCCAGCCCTAATATTCTATGAGTAAACACTGGGAAAGTAGAAGACAAATCTCTTGGAACCTAAATTCCCTTCAAAAAATATAAAATATCTAGCAGTTTGTATTTTTGCACACATGACTCACTTGAAAAGCAAAAAATGCTTTGAAATGTTTTCCTTTTATTTGGCCCAAACTCCTTTACTTCTTTATCCATATTAACATTATTCTTTTGTTTGATTATTGATATCCTCCTGTGTGTATAGTCCACACTTGTCTATATTGCTTGCTAGATTAATTTGATTTTTCTCCATTCTCTTTGTTTTAAAGCAATTTATAGCGGGGATTTTGTTCTTCTCTATCAATCTGTTGTTCATGGATCTCTCTCTCTCTCTCTCTCTCTCTCTCTCTCTCTCTCTCTCTTTATTGGTACTGGAAGTTGAACCCAGGGA